TCCTTCCCCAATAGCGCCTCCTGCCAGCTATGTTCACCGCCCGTCAGGATGTTTTTCCCCTGTTTTAATTATGCTAGTGACAAATTAACTGAGTTCTGAGGAGTCACGCCATGCCTAAAACATTAACTGTTTCTCTCTCCACAGATGCTGCCAGACTTGCTGAGTTTCTCCAGCACTTCCTGCTTTTGTTTCAGATTTCCAGTCTTTGCAGTATTTTTCTTCCATTTTTGTAATAGTCCAGTCCACAAGACAACTGTCTTCTGAATACCCCTGAAGACTTCCCCTAATATTCATTTATTTGTTTGTTTGAGAGTTATCGCCTTGATTCATTTATTCATTCTGGTTAATTAACAAATGAGTTTCCTAACTCTCCCTCGCACCCTCTTGTGGAGCCCAACCTAAATACATCCGGGTTCTGAGGCACTAACAGCTTGGAAACTGAAGGACTCTGTACCTTCTGAGTCCCACCTTCCAGCAGTGCAGCTTCAAATGAAGATCTGCACACCTGACATGTGTCACTCCCAATCTGTTGTTACCAAGTTGTGTAGTGTGTGTGGTTCCTTTAAGACATAAAATGATTTCCTAAGCTTAGAGATTTAATGCAGAAAAAGAATGTCTGCATGTAGCTGAAGATGTACAGCCAGTTCTAAAATGGAACCATGTATCAATTGGCTGTGTGATTAGAAACCTTAGGTATGTTTTGATGTTTTGGCAATGAGCTGGAATCAGCCAATTAATTTAAACCAAGCACTTTGTGACTGAAAGCCAAGTGAATTTAAATCTGTTACAGAAATAGTAGGAACTGCCGATGCTGGAGAATCTGATATAACAAGGTGTAGACCTGGATGAACACAGCAGGCCAAGCAGCATCAGAGGAGCAGGAAAGCTGACGTTTCAGGTCTAGACCCTGCTTCAGAAATGGGGGAGGGGGAAGGGGATTCTGAAATAAATAAGGAGAGAGGGGGAGGCGGATAGAAGATGGATAAAGGAGAAGATAGGTGGAGAGGAGACAGACAGGTCAAAGCGACGGGGTTGGAGCCAGTAAAGGTGAGTGTAGGTGGGGATTTAGGGAGGGGATAGATCGGTCTAGGGAGGACAGACAGGTCAAGGAGGCGGGATGAGGCTGGTAGGTAGGAGATGGGGGTGGGGCTTGAGGTGGGAGGAAAGACAGGTTAGGGAGGCGGGGACGAGCTCTGCCCAGCCCTGCTGGGTCTTCACCATCCCCCCAGACCTCCCCCTCACTGAGGACGAACGATCAGTCCTCAGTAAAGGGCTCACCTTTGTCCCTTTCCACCTTAACATCAACGAATACCACTCACGCTTGGACGTTGAACAGTTTTTCCGCTGCCTCCACCTCCACGCTTACTTCTTTAACCGTGAGCCTCACCCTCCCTCGACTAACCCCTTCTCCCACCTCCAACACAGCCCCTCCTCCTGGACACCATCCCAAGGCCTCCTACTCTCCCTCGACCTCTTCATCTCCAACTGCCGTCGAGACATCAATCGCCTCAACCTCTCCACCCCTCTCACCCACTCCAATCTCTCCCCCACAGAACGTGCAGCCCTCCACTCCAATCCCAACCTCACCATAAAACCCGCGGACAAGGGAGGCGCAGTTGTAGTGTGGCGCACTGACCTCTACATCGCCAAGGCCAGATGCCAACTCTCTGACACCTCCTCCTACCGCCTCCTTGATCATGACCCCACCCCCGACCACCAAAACATCATCTCCCAAACCATCCACAATCTCATCACTTCAGGTGACCTCCCACCCACAGCCTCTAACCTCATCATTCCCCAACCCCTCACCACCCATTTCTATCTCCTTCCCAAAATCCACAAACCTGACTGCCCTGGTCGACCCACTGTCTCCGCCTGCTCCTTCCCCATCGAACTTATCTCCACTTACCTCGACTCCATTTTCTCCCCCTTGGTCCAGGAACTCCCCACCTACATCCGTGACACCACCCACGCCCTCCACCTCCTCCAAAACTTCCAATTCCCTGGTCCCCAACACCTCATCTTTACCATGGACGTCCAGTCCCTATACACTTGCATTCCCCATGCAAATGGCCTAAAGGCCCTCCACTTCTTCCTGTCCCGCAGGCCCAACCAGTCCCCCTCCACTGACGCCCTCATCCGCTTAGCTGAACTCATCCTCATTGTTAATATCTTCTCCTTCAATTCCTCCCACTTCCTACAGACAAAGGGGGTGGCCATGGGTACCCGCATGGGCCCAAGGTATGCCTGCCTCTTTGTAGGATACGTGGAACAATCCCTCTTCCAAAGCTACACTGGCCCTAAACCCCACCTCTTCCTCCGTTACATCGATGACTGTATCAGCACCGCCTCGTGCTCCCACGAGGAGCTCGACAGTTCATCCACTTCACTAACACCTTCCACCCTAACCTTAAGTTCACCTGGACCATCTCCGATTACCTCTCTCCTTCCTGGACCTCTGTTTCCATCTCTGGCAACCACCTGGAAACTGACATCCATTTCAAGCCCACCGACTCCCACAACTACTTAGAATACACCTCCTCTCACCCACCTTCCTGCAAAAATGCCATCCCCTATTCCCAATTCCTTCGCCTCCGCCGCATCTGCTCCCAAGATGAGGCATTTCACTGCCGGACATCCCAGACGTCCTCGTTTTTCAAGGACCACAACTTCCCCTCCACAGTGGTCGAAAACGCCGTCGACCGTGTCTCTCGCATTTCCCGCAACTCATCCCTCACACCCCCTCCCCGCAATAACAACCGAAACAGAATCCCCCTCGTCCTCACGTACCACCCCACCAATATCAGGATCCAATGCATCATCCTCCGGCACTTCCGCCATCCGCAATCTGACCCCACTACCAAAGACATTTTTCCCTCCCCACCCTTATCTGCTTTCCAGAGGGATCACTCTCTCCATGACTCCTTTGTTTGCTCCACACTCCCCACCAGCCCCACCACTCCCGGCACCTTTCCCTGCAACCGCAGAAAGTGCTACACCTGCCCCTACACCTCCCTTCTCACCCCCATCCCAGGCCCCAAGAAGACCTTCCACGTCAAACATCTGCTAATGTGGTATACAGTATCCGCTGTTCCCGTTGTGGCCTCCTCTACGTCGGTGAAACCAAGCAGAGGCTTGGGGACCGCTTTGTGGAACACCTATGCTCGGTTCGTGACAAACATCTGCACCTCCCAGTCGCGAACCATTTCAACTCCCCCTCCCACTCCTTGGACGACATGCCCATCCTGGGCCTCCTGCAGTGCCACAACAATGCCACCCGAAGGTTGCAGGAACAGCATCTCATATTTCGCTTGGGAACTCTGCAGCCCAATGGTATCAATGTGGACTTCACAAGCTTCAAAATCTCCCCTGCCCCGATCGCATCCCAAAACCAGCCCAGCTCGTCCCCGCCTCCCTAAACTGTCCGTCCTTCCTCCCATCTATCCATTCCTCCCACCTCAAGCCACATCCCCATCTCCTACGTAACAGCCTCATCCCGCCTCCTTGAACTGTCCATCCTCCCTGGACTGACCTATCTCCTCCCTAAATCCCCACCTACACTCACCTTTACTGGCTCGAACCCCGTCTCTTTGACCTGTCTGTCTCCTCTCCACCTATCTTCTCCTTTATCCATCTTCTATCCGCCTCCCCCTCTCTCCCTATTTATTTCAGAATCCCCTTCCCCTTCCCCATTTCTGAAGAAGGGTCGAGATCTGAAACGTCAGCTTTCCTGCTCCTCTGATGCTGCTTGGCCTGCTGTGTTCATCCAGCTCTACACCTTGTTATATTCAATTTAAATCTGATGGTTTTGATAACCTCGGACCCATGCTATTGTAAGAAAATTGATATGTCATCCAAGGTATATAAGGAGAAGGTTTTTAAAAATCGGAGTGAGAACAAACCGTCATCTGAGAAATAAGCTCCTAGTTATCACAAGAAATCACTAAGCCCTCTAAGAAAGCACCGTTTATCCATAAAAGGTACCACAGTACTTCTAGCTAAGAGTCTTCACAGACAAAACATCTCCAACAGTAAGATCAGCGGAAGAAAGGTGTTTATGACTGGAGACACAGTGATGATGGCAGACCATTCTGGAAGCTACATTTTGTGTGGACTTTGAGAGACTAAGTTTTAATTTAATATTTTTTCTTTTTACTTGGGTTATATAAATGGGACTTCTGTTTATTGGAATAGCATACCAGTAGAAATTTGTTCAGTTAGGAGGAAATTGTTCAGTTTGTTAGTAGGTCTGTTAATTTGTTCACTGTTAGGGTTAAATAAATAAATTGTTACTTATAGAGTGAATATCAGGGGTTTTCTTTCATTTAACCTCCCCTTCTTTGTAACAGTTTAACAGATTAGGCAAGGTGAGGTGAGCTTCTCTGGGTGTTTCGGGTTTAATTATTAGAAGGGGACCTCTACTCCTGCCGTAACAGATTGGGGACTGGTGTTTCAATTTTAATTATTAGAGGGGTTCAACCGCCCCTTCCTAGTACTATGTTTTGTAAGTTGGGAACACTGGGACACACTAATGCCTGTGTGATTGACTGTGCAGTGTGGTATAACCACAGAAAGATCAACAGGAAAGCAACACTTAAAACATCCAAACTACAACATATCGTTTCTCACTCCCGCATTGAAGTGATCACTTGTGGTAACCTTCAGTCAGGAGATGTCTCTAGTTTATGCGCAAAGAGAAGGATTTGAAGTGGGGGTGTTGAGGGGCTGAAAGGAAAGGGTGTACAAAGATGAAAGAATAATACAGGCTGCTTGGGAAAATGGCAATTGCTGCTCATTGACACAATGAACATTTGGTGTGAATCCTCCTTTCCCTTCCCACTTCAAATAGATACTGAGGCAAACTTACAATTTACTCAACCCACAGCAGTGTAATTATGTGGAAAGTAAAGATTGCTACAGAGACAGAGACAGATGTTGTGTCTGACAGGCCGAGACTCCTTCCGAGCTGACAGTAGAACAGTGTCTTCCTGAACACATACCTGAGCCTGAGTGTTGGGCTCCAGGCGAAGCAAACATCCAACCTGGATGCTCCTCATGTGAATAATTCCAGTGCCCACAAAATTGGCACCATTGGGATCCACCCCATCCAGAAGTGCGAGACCAAATCCCAATAGCTGCAGGATGAGAAGTACAATTGTCGAACATGGGCTTAAATTGAAAATATCACTAACCGATCAAACGCAACAGCCACAAGTATCTGAATGTATACTGCTCTTTCACAACCCTAGCAGACCCCAGGACTGTTTCTAACATGTACATTCAGGTGTTTTAAAGAAAACAATGAATAAAAACATATAACTCATAACCCGGACGAACGATACAAGTGGTGAGCACGGTCAGCTCTGGGCTGCTCTCATGGGCATTTCCTAAGAATGAGGGAATTATCCCTGCTCAGAGTATTCTGGTCAATTTGATTCTAGACATCTAAAATGTTAATCTAGGGTTTTCTTTCTTAAGATTAGTGAGTAGAGTACAGCCGAATGAACATACAATGACTGAGAGATTAATCTGTTAGAGTTTCTGATGGTGGAGCATACGTACAGACTCGACACAACGAGGAGAAGGTATTTTTGCAGCTCTTCAGAATGGGAACACTGGAAAAGCAGCAATCAATTTGCAAGCTCCCAGACACAGCAATGTACTAATGAGCTCATCTGTTTTTCTGACATTGACTGAAGGATGAATATTGGTCAGAATGCTAGAGGAACTCCCTCATTCTTCTTTGAAAGAGAGTTGTAGGATCCATCGTGTTTGTCCTAGGGAAAGAGATGGGGCCTTGCACCTCTGACAATGCAATGCTGGAGTCTCAGCCTAGATTTCTGTCTTCAAATCTCTGGACTGGGACTTGAACCCACAACCTTCTGACTCAGAGGTGATCATGCTACTCACTGACAGCTGTGAAGACAGATCAGTGTGTATTATAAATGAAGGAGATCAAATAGTTGGATACCGGGTATGATGTGGAGCATGCACAAGGTCCATGTAAGATGATTATATATGTGGTCAAGATTACAGAGACATTTTGAGGTGTTATCTTAATTGGCTCTCAAATTCACATGTATTTTCATGTTAGTTTTATATTTCATAATGGAATTTAATGGATTAATAAGGATCAGAAACAATAAACATTAATGCAATTGAATTATAAAAACAAAGGCGTTCAGAGTTGTTAAACATAAAAGTCTGTCAAATGCAAACACATGTACACTGCCAGCACCACTGCAAGTTATTCTTATTTACTCAAGAGACATGGGTGTCACTGGCTGGGCTACATTTATTGCCCTTTCCTAGTTGCCCTTGAGGTGGTGGTAGTGAGCTGCCTTCTTGAACTGCTGCAGACCCCGTGCTGTAGGTAGATCCGCAATGCTGTGAAGAAGGGAATTCCAGGATTTTGACCCAGCAACAGGGAAGGTACAGAGATATTATTCCAAGTCAGGCTGATGACTGGCTCAGAGGGGAACTTGCAGGTAGTGGTGTTCCTATTTGTCTAGTGCCGCAGTACTGACGCTCTGACAGTGCAACGCTCCCTCAGTACGGACCCTCTGACTGTGCAACGCTCCCTCAGTACGGACCCTCCGACTGTGCAACGCTCCCTCAG